AGTGTAGATGGACACAACACAATTCCTTTATTTTTATGTGGTGATGAGGATCAAACCCGCGTCCCGCCTGTGCTAGGCAAGCGCTCTACCGCTGAGCCACAATCACAGCCCCTGTGTGTCTCTTATCTACAGAAGAGTCTTTGCATACCCATCCCTTAGCCATGGTAATAACTCTGGCTGGCCTTGGGTAAATTTTTTCTTAAAGAAAACATGTGAAATGTTAGCACTTAGGTTCAACATAGGAATTAACCTCTTAGCTGCTTATGCCCACCACCCATGTCTATCTACCATCTATCACTTGCAAGACCAGCATCCCAAGGAATAACTGTCCAGAAACAAGAGTAAGAAAGAAACTTTCAACAGGTAACATTAACAGGTAACATTAACACGTTAACTTGCCCTAATTCCCAGCATAGGTGAGACAGAGCCGGGGCACCTCAAGAATACATTCATATATATATATAATTTTTTTTGGCTAGGGCGGTTCTCATTGTTCTAACTTGGTTTTTGGAACAAAAAGAGATTAAGGGTATAGAAATGGCTTTAGTGCCCTCCTTTTTCTTTAAGGATGATATAGGATTGTAGGATAGGTATGTAGGATTTGAGATTTCCTGTTACATGGATAGTACTTAGGTCAGTGCAGTGATTGTTACCTAGGGAAATGCCCTTAAAAATCTCATTTCTTGATGAGACTTTTTAATAGCTGTGTCTGAACCTAAGTGCTCAGCAAAATGTCACATATCTCAAAAACTATGGAGGCACCACTATGGAGATAGAAGTGGGGAGAGACCCCATGGAGTCACATGTACCTGTTTTAACCTGTATTTTTTTAAAAGTCTATTTAATGTTGTATCATTACAGATATAAAAGTTCTGGGGGTAAAAACTTCCCTAATTGTATTGAATTAACAGTAGGGCTTTTGTTCCTCTTCTGCAGAGCCTGGTCGCTGTATGTGCTAACTGTCTTCCAATGTGTCACGAGTGTCTCAGCCAGGGAGATCTTCCTGATGGAGAGGAATCTTTTTAAGTGAGTAGGTTTCCACTCTGGGAAGTAGCATCAGACCCTCTGGTCAAACTGATAACATTCACAATTGAGCCGAGAATATAATCTGGGAATATTGTTTTGTTATAGTTAAAGCTTCATCCCGGGGTTTCTTAAACTGACTTCCAGACCACTCATGTATAATCGAATCAAGCCTTTATTGTAGTACACCGATGGCAGTTGACCAGATCATAAAGCTGTTCCCCTGATCAGCCCCAAACAATTTCAAGGGTGCTCCTTATAAGCCTGAAAAACACAAAAGGGATGTTAGAGGTCCAGCCAGTGCAAGCAAGCCAGGTTACAGAAATGGGAGACTGCAGTCAAGCGGCGGGAAGCCTAACCAATCACAGTTATCCCAGTCACCCCAGTTACAGAAACAGAGCCCTGTTACCCTAGTTACAGAAACAGAGCCCCATTAGGTAGTTCTGCATTCTTAAAGGTTTCTATAGCAAAAGGAAAAGGACATCTTGCCCCAGTCATGACCCTTCTACTTGGTAGGGTTGTTTTGCAGGATGAAGTCATAAAACAAAATGGAGTCACATTTGCTTCTGCTATCATAGTTTTATTTCTTAGTTCGTTTAACTGACAAATGCAAATTGTACAGACATGTAAAGTGCAACATGAGCTTTTGAAGTCTGCATAGGGATTGCTAACATTAACGGAGAAGAGGCACTCAGTGATGGACTGGAAAATCAAGAGGAAGTGGGGCCTGCTACTGAGGGAAAACAGAGTTCAGTATTAGATGTGGTCAGTGAATTCCAGGGTTACAGGGAAAATAAGCAATAAAGGGGCTGAAATTACCTTTTCGTTTTTAGGAAGTAACAGGGTCATGATGGCACCTGTGGGAAAAGTTTAAGAAGCTTGGTAGAGATTTAATGCAAATCAGAGGTGGGAAGTAAAAGTGACAAAGAGTTTAAGGCAGTGTTGTCCTTGGTGGATAAAGGAGTAGAAGTGGCCAGAGGGCAGCCTTCCAGTAAAGAGCTGGCTGGTTTTGTCTCTTCTGTTTTCAAAGATGGAAGAGATTTTCCCATACTTACATGCCAAGGGCAGGAATCATCCGAGGGAAGGAATGAAGACACTGGTGGAAGAGTTTGGAAATACAGGATATTTCAGGAAGAAGAAAGATGAGGATTTGGTAGCTGACGGGGTGGCACATTTGAGATGTGATCATTGAAGGAAGAATAGTTTTTTTCTTTTGTAACATGAAAGTAGCAGAAGTAAAAGGATTTTAGGGTTGTGCACTTACATTAAGGCTTAGGAAAATATCAGGGTCACATTCTTCACATTCAGAATTGGGGAGAAGAAAAACCTGTGCTGCCACTGAGATTGAGCCCTGGAGTTCTGCTATTCAGACAGCCTTAGAGGACAAGCAGGGTCTCAGAGGAGAGTGAGGAGATGCAGACTGTTTCCCTGGAGGGGTGATGTGCACTAGAGTGGGCAGCAGCTGGAGGGGTGCTGTCATGAGAGGGTCCCAGCAAGAGCCTTGAGGGGCTGATGCCCCAGGGAGGCTGCACCTGAGGTGGAGAAAGGCATTAACCAGGGATCAGCCTGGAGCCTGTGGGCAGGTGCAGTGTCAGACCTGGTGGCAGCAGGAGTCTGCACAACAGCATCTCATTTGGGCTGTGCCTTCTTGGACTAATCTGGGATGTGTGGTGTGTGTTTTTGTTCTGTAGACTTGAGTACATCAGTGGATACTACAGAGTGTCATCTTACTTCCTTGGAAAACTGTTATTTGAGTTCCTATTCAGGAGGTTTTTTCCAAGTTTTATATTTACTGGTATACTATACTGGATATTAGGTAAGTAATAAGACAAAGATGTGTCTTTAGTCTTAGATATGAGCTGATGCTAATTTCTAATTTCTCTTTGTAAGCATGTTCATGGTTCTCCAAACTGCATACCCAGCCAAAAGCTATTGAAGCATTGTATCCTCTCTAATAAAGCTGCTAAATGTGGGCCTTGTTCAGACTTTTTCTAAACAAACTTTTGAGGGGTGAACTGAGGATTGAACCTAAGGTATAAGCTTAGTAGGCAAGTGCTGGACCATTCCATTTTAGTTTTACTTTAATATGAGACATTTTAATCTTGGTAAATTTCCAGGCTAGCCTTGAACTTGTGAGCCTGCTTCCTTGTTCTCTTAAGTAGCCTGTTTTCAGGTATATGCCCCCTGTAAGCAGTCTTACAAACTCTTATTAAAACTACATTTTATTGAGAAATGCTGGGTGTCATATACAAATATGAAGGGAATTTATAAAACTCTTTGAGATTGTGCTAAAGGAACTGGAATATTTATTGCCTATTTATCTACATTTCTTCTCTGTATCTCTACATATATCTCTATATGGAGATAAAATATAGATAGGTAGGTAATATCTCTAGAATCTATAGAGATATGTTGAGAGGGATAAATAATCAACACACACATACATTCTCTCCCTGTCTCCTTCTATGGTGAAAGAAAGATAGTGACTTTTAAAGAAGGTTAATTTAATAAAAATACTTGTTTGTAGATATAGACAGATGTTTGTGCATTATGCTCAGGTTTCCTTCCAGTTTCATTGCATGAATATTTTCATATCTCTCTCTCTCTCTCTCTCTCTCTCTCACACACACACACACACACACACACACACACACATGCACACATAAACACAACAGAAATATCTATTTTTGACAACACATGAGAGTAAGAACCATTGATAGAGCATAAATCTTCCATATTACAAATAAAAATCGCATCCTAAAGAATTTGTCATGATAACTAAACCCCCAGACTCCTGTTTGGTATTCTTAAAGCTGTTTTAAAATCTTCACACTATATGACCCAGAACATTAGCTTTATTATCATTTGTAAAGTAGTTGCTTAACCTAACCCATTCTCTATCACAGAGCCATGTGATCGTTTGTCTAGGGAAGTCTTCCCTAATGGAGAAAATCTCTCTCCATTTCCCAAGATACTCAATCCACTTGTGGAATCCCAACCCCAGTTTCTTCACTAATGCAGTTGCAGCAAACAGTGAACAGTGTGGAGATGTCTGGGTACATGAATATGCTCTTGAGTCTCCTTAGAGTGTAGAATTTTAGCCATTTGTGTTGCCTGTGTCTCTCCACCTCAGTATCCACCTTTGATACTGTTCATAATTACATGTAAAGGAGAGTAGGTGTTACATGGAAAGGTCCTTCATCAGTAAATGTACAAAAGAACTGTGATAACTTTGTGCAGTTACAATGAGGGAAAAAAATGAAGTGGTGAATCATGGTAGTTGGGTCATGTTTGTCTTTTTTTCATTCTGATATTAGTTGATTGGAAAATTGTAGTGTTCTTTGCATGTTGAACAGTCTGAAAGACAAGGTGACCTAGACAGCTGCACTGACCCCTTCTTTTCTTTCTGAGGGCTGAAACGGGGGATAACAGCTTTCCTCATCACAACGATTACCACTTTGATGGTGGCTTATTCCACCACTGCCATGATCCTGGCTATAGGAACACGTGAGAATGCAGCATCTTGGAAAACACTTCTGGTGATCGTCTATTTTGTGTTCGTGCTGGTGAGTGGGAACTGTGCTTCTGTGAGAGGGAATTTTCACCTTGTTTCTTCACACACATTCACCTTGATAAATTGGAACTTCATAATCCAGAGGAACTATCATTGTCCCATTTCCTCATAAAAAAGACAGATTACTTGCCTGCCTTTGACACTGATATTAGAGATTTGCCAGCTGTTTACCCACAGCATAGATGGTTTGGTTGGACTCACTACTCTCCAAGGTCAGAGTGAATACTGTGATATTCACTGCTTCATGAGTGTGCAGCATAGGGAGTCTGAGTTTTGAAAATAGTGGAAAATGTCCAGACCTATATATTATGTTTGATTTCCCCCTAGTTTCATTGCATGAATATTTCCATCTCTCTCTCTCTCACACATGCACACATAAAAACATGAGAAATATTTATTTTGACAACACACCAGAATAGGAACCACTGATAGAGCTTAAATCTATAGGTCACTTCCTGATGATCACTTCTCTGTTCTTATTTTGTTTCCAATGGTTACTTAGTTCTAATCTTACATGCCCCAAAAGTTTGCACTCACAGTGATGAATCAACAGGTGAATAGAACTACTTACCACTATGACATGAACCTAACAGGACTGCCTAACCATTAATACGTCCTTTCTGCTACAGTAGGAGCAGATGTCTTTCAATGATGCATAATTAGTATAAGTACTTGCCAAAGTTTAATTTTCCATACCTAAATTTGGCAACTACCAATGTATATCATTGAAAAAGTAATGTCTTATTTATATTTCCTATACATTGAGAAACTAATGTCTTATTTATATTTCCTATACTGTCCTTCAGTAAATGAAGTGTTTGTCAATAAATTAAGGTGTTTTGTTTGCTTTATTTGGTGCTCTGACTGATTGACATATAAGCATTTCTGTGTGGAAGTTTAGAAGCCGATCACAAAACTACATTTTATTTAGGGAAGCCGTGTTATCGCCAAGAAAGATGGTGATACTAAACACATGGAGTCTTCAAGAGTAAATATGTGTAGGCACAGTACAGCACCGGTCATTGTTTTGCATATCACAAGGCACCTTGCACCAGTTGAGTCAAGTGTTATGTAGACCTCAGAGGTGTCTCTTTTTTCATCTTAAGCATTCCCTCTTGTAGTCTTTATTGTGATACTGCTTTCTGTTAGCTTTAGGTGAATATATTGACCATATTTTCTGCTATACTTCACTATATTTTCTTCTTTATTAATTCTATGCTTTGAGTTACTGTAAGCCTGAATTATGTATCCCAGATTACTCCAAAAGTCACAGATACTCTGCACAGACCCTTGTAAATAATAAATCATATCATGTGGAAGTAGAGAGGGGTGTGTGATGCTCAGGATTGTCTGGCATATGTTCCTAGATGGTCAGGTTTATTAGGGGAAAAGATATTGGTGGTGCAATTTGAATAGTCAATGTAGTCAGCCTTTCTTGTCTATGGGTTCAGCATCCAAAGATTCAGCCTACCACAGATTGAAACTATAACAGAACAAAAATTGTCTCTGGAGTGAATATGTATAGTTATTCTTTTCTTATCTAAGCCATCCTGTATAACCCACATAGCATTTACATTGTGTTAGGTATTATAAGACATGGAAATGATTTAACATAGATGGGATATGTATTTTGTATATTTACAGCATAAAGAATGTACATGGGTTACATAAAAAAAACTATGCCATTTTTAAAATAGGGGACTTAAGCATCTGCAAATTTGGGGAGCGATGGATAGGTGAGTTCTGGAAATAATTCCTCAGATACCAAGAGATAACTGTATTCCTTAATCTTCAATTGTGTGCAATTACAGAGAAAGATGATGACATAATCCTGACAATTAAGAATTTTCCAACTATGTGAAACATACTATACAAATTATAGGTATATTTCCCAAAATCTTTGAAATAATTGAAATTGTATAATATAGTTTATATTATCCTTCATTTAATACCATAAACTGTCTCAGTTATGCACAGGTAATAGACATGCAAAGAACAAAGATTATTGTTTAGAGTAAGTTGAAAGAATTTCAAGAAAGAGTAGATCCTAGCAGAAATGTTAAGAAGGTTGTGGAGTTCTTGTAGAAGGCCTTGCCCAGGGTTCCTCATGAAAACGCTGAACTGGTTCTGATACTTGGTTTTTCTTTTCATAGGTTTTCTTGGGTATGTCATTGAATTTTGAAACCATGGCACCTCAGCTCTCCTGGCTTCAATACGTCAGTATTCCTCATTATGGCTATATGGTAAGTTGTCTTCATCTGCCATTGTGACTGGGTTCCTAACCTGGGAACAAACAAAATCAAGCCTGACCCTCTCATTTCCAATCCATGAACTGTGACTGTCTTCTATCCAGGAACTGTCTTTCAGGAGCAATGCATGAGTATTTCCTGTTAGCCTTGGTGATCACAAGGTCAGGGATTCATCTGAGGTTTTTCTCAGTCACCTCATTGTTTGAGGGAGATGAAAGGTGAAAAATATTTTCAGAATAAAAGAAAGGTGGGAGACTGGAAAACAGCTTATTCCAAAAGGCAAATTAGAAGAGAAACAAAGACCATGAAGTACTCATAGCCATATTGGCTTTGGTAAGTTAATTGGCTCCAAAGAAAGCTGTGTCTTAACACAGTACAACCAAATTTTTAACTACCAGACTTATAACTGGTTTTGATTGAAACAAACAAGAAAATATCATTACCATAAATCAACAATATTCATTAAGCACCAATGCATTATTTGGAATACATTGTTTGTGGGGTTAAAATATTGGGAAAGAAGAAAGTAAATATGGGGCAATAGCAACCAGAAGTCTTTCCTCTTGGCCAATTTAAAACATCACAACACTAGGCCTTTTGAGGATTAATCTGGAGGATGTAACTGAGATACTTCTTTGGCACTTTTGTTTTTCTCTTTTGTGGTACTAGGGAGTGAACCCAGGCCCTTGTGCATGCTCAGCATGTGCTCTTACACTTTGGTATATCTCCAGCCCTTTTTCTTTTATCTTGACACAGGATCTGGCTAAGTTGAGTTGCCCAGGCTGACCTTGAACTTGCAATTCTCCTACCTCAGCCTTTGAAATTTGAAAGTGTTTACCTTGTCCTGTTCCCCCTTGTATTACAGGCTTTGCAGCATAATGAATTTTTGGAACAAAATTTCTGTTCAGGACCCAATACAACAATGAGCAACTGCCGTCCCAGCTTTTTGATGTAAGTTTGTGTTCAGTGTCCTAAAGGATTTGCTTACTTTCTACTGTGGTGTGATATTGAAAGTCTCCTGGGCTTAGAAAAAAGTTGAGTCCTTCCAGGGTCAACAAGAGTTTCTGAATCCATGTTTTCTCACTCTGAAAGTAAGCCATGGTGCACTGGTAATGCATGGGAACATGCTGTGCATGTATTTGACTGCAGTCAAAATTGTATTTAATGCAGAGAATTATCTGTTTTGAGCTTTTGAAACATTGGTATTTTAGTTGAGGTTTTGAATTAACAAGAGAAAAGAGAATGCCAGTGTGTTAAACTCATAGATTTTCCAAATAGTATTAAAATGATTCTTAGAAATAACAAATTTTTATTATTAATTACTAATAGGAAAAATTCTGTGAAAATTTTCTTTCTTTCCCCCTTAATCCTGGTTTGATCTGGGTGTGACATTTTTGTAACACAAAGTCAGTGGCACATTGCTGGTCAGGATGAAGTGTATGGGAGAAGAAGGACCAGATAAGGAGCCACCATGGGCTTCACAATTACATAAGGCTCATCCTCATAAGGGGAAGGAGGAAGCTTCTCTTCAGCAAAGAGAGGCCATCGATGCTTTTGAAACTTCTAAATTTGAAGAGATGCACAAGAGTGGCAGCAGGCAATAATTGTGGCTGCACCAGGGTTTTTTTTCTTTTTTGTAACAGCTGTTTTTCTAAGCTGTGGCAAGAACACTTCATCCTGCTCTGCTTCAGCTGCTTTTGTAACCTGTAGCAAGACATTGCATCCTGCTCTGCTCCAGCTGCTACTTAAGATCCTACTCTGATTCCTGGCCCTGAGGGTATCTTTCTGTAGCTCAGTATCTGTGATGCTCATCACAGTCTTGGTGCAAAAGCCTCCAGACTATAACTCTGGCTGCAAGCCTTTGCTCCTCTCTGATCCTAGTTTTATAATTCTTAGCCTGTGTTCTTTGAATGGCTGTCTTGTGAGAAGAAATATGAGGATCTTTGATCATCTTAGCAAGGGCCACAGGTGTCATCAATTAAAGCTGAGGGTTCCCTACCAGGAGTATGTGAAAAATTATCTGAACAATATTTCCTTTGAAGAGAGCAGCATTACAAATTTGGAAATTAGTTCATCTTTGGAGGCTAGAAACTTGGTTCATAGTATGACTGCAAATTTGGTTTAGGTTTTTAATCCTAATTTTCCTCTTTAAAATATGTGTAATATCAATACACCTTTAGATTTTTTTTTAGGGTTTAACTGAGTGTTTAGATGCAAATTGCTTGGCATGGTATCTCGAAAAATTGTAACCATTTAATGATTGTTAATTATTAGATATGAAGGGATAACGCCTGGTTAACTGTAGGCTTCTTGGAAAAAGAAACAGTAAATATAATGAGTAAAATTTGACAGATACTAGGAATGGAATTGTAACTTTATTTGTGTTGAATTTCAGATGTACTGGCGAAGAATTCTTGATAATTCAGGGCCTCAATCTCTCACCTTGGAGCTTATGGATCAACCATCTGGGTTTGGCTTGTATGATGTTTTTCTTCCTCGCAATTGCCTATCTAAAAATGTTATTTCTTAAAAAACATTCTTAAATACCTCTTTAATTTACTATGAATTACCCTCACATTAAAAAAGAGAACCTTGATTTATTTTAAATACCCAATAAAGATTTTATATTATTTTCTGACCAGTTGCGATCAACAATTATTTTAATTAGAAAAAATTCACAAAAATCATAACAAGCCATATTTTACATGACAGAACCAAGCAAAATACTGATGCTATTATGTATTGTATAATAGTTCATCTCATGAGACAAGAGTGGAGAAGAAATCTAGTCTAATTTATTGACCTGAAAAAGAGGAATTGAATTTCAGAAACTCTTGACAAGTTGCCAACATCTCTGATATCAGTTTTCTCATCTTTTTAATAAATAGGGAGATTATTATCACTCCAATTTTAAAAGTTTGTGACTGTGTAATTTTCTATTAATTAATAACATATATGTTAACATCTGAAGAGATCTCAAGATGACAGAGGATAGCTGAATTTCCAATTGCTCCTTGGCTTGGATACAAACAGCAGGAGTACTGCATCTCTCAGCAAGGTAGGTGAAAAGGGGGAATTCACTGAAATTCAGTGTTTGTACAGTCAGAGTCTCATAAAGACTCATAATTTTGAGTGCATTGAAGAAAGAATAAGGAAAAAAAAATCATTGGATTCAAGCTCTTTGTAGAAGTTGCAGTGTACCTAGTTCACCATGGAAGGGAGGGAAAATACAAACAGAAACACAATGGACCAATTTGTCAAGGGAAAAAATTCCTAGATCAGAAAAACAGTCTGAACTTAGCTGGTCCAGAGACTACACAGCAAAATGGCATTTAAAAATGATCTATTTTGTAAGTGGAAAGCAGAGAGCTGAGACTAGAGCCATTTTGAAGAGTTCATGCTGCACCTTCTGCTACCGGAGCATGGGAGATTGTAACAAATACTGCCATACTGTCTTGGCGAGCATCTACTGGGTGGTCTAGGGTGTACCTAGCAGAAAGTGATTGAAACAGGCTCAGAAAAGATTATACCCAGGGAATTCAAGTAAGAAATATGGAAAAGAGTGCTATTTGCGTTCCTTTTGAGTCTGGACATTCACATGACCAGCTAAAGGGGACTGGGAAATTGAACAGGTGGGTGTGAATACACTCAGATGCTAAACCTAGTAAAGGCATATTTGTGGGCTGCAGAGTGAGTGTGCCTAGAAGTGGGTTGGCTCCCCTGCCCTATAAATAGAATTCTTGGGAAGCTGATGACATCCAGATTCCAAGCAGAGATTGGCATCTAGAGGTGTGTTGATATAATCACTCCAGAGATTATACCACCCTTAAGAGTCACTAAGTCCTAATTAGAGTAAGTCCCAGCTGCTTAAACTGGTAAGAAGAAAAGCTGAAAGCTATCTCTACCAGCTTTGGTTTTAGACCACTCCAGCTGACAGCTTCATGAGCAACAAAAGAGGAAGGGGTTAACAACCCCCAGGCCTCCCTCTCCCTCTCTCTTTTCCTCCCTTCTCCCTCCCTCCATAACCCTAGAAGAAATGAATAGTGAGATAGTTGGACACAGGTAGTGACCATTTAGCCTCATTGACAGTTTTGAACACTTCAGTGAAGACAGTTCTTTCATTTTCCTTTTTTTAAAAATTTTTATTGTTAGTTGTTCAAAACATTACATAGTTCTTGACATATCATATTTCACACTTTGATTCAAGTGGGTTATGAACTCCCATTTTTACCCCTTATACAGATTGCAGCATCACATCGGTTACACATTCACTGTTTTACATATTGCTATACTAGTGTCTGTTGTATTCTGCTGTCCTTCCTATCTTCTACTATCCCCCCTCCCCTCCCCTCCCATCTTCTCTCTCTACCCTCTCTACTGTAATTCATTTCTCCCCCTTGTTTTTTTTC